CGCAAGTGAACTTTCCAGCCCCGCGCGCTCCAACGCGCCTAGCCCGGCACAGCCCGCTCCCCTCCCCTGCAGAACCAGAAACCTGGATCCGAGCCCTGATACCCAGTCTGGGTTGCCCATCTGAAAACTGGTCAGAGGACCTGAGCAGCGTTAGCTAAGACTATTAACCAAATGGATTTAGCAGCCATTTTGAATCCACTTCCCGCCCCCCCCTCCAGCTTCGCCCCCCACTCCCACATGCACTTTAGGTCTGGGATGGGGAATGAGAAATTAGCCTTGGGATTTATTGTAATTGTTTTCAGGGGGGAGCGGGTTAAAGAAAGGTACTTGGGTAAGCTAAATTGTCAAAGTTTCCCCATGGGGTGGGGGGGGGGGAGGGAGAGACAGAGAAATAAAGGTTCCCTGAAAGGAATTTGAACTGTTTATATGTGGATCACCAGCTCTTCCTCCCAGTTGGATCTGGAGATTATGCTTTTCCTTCACAAACTCAGTAAGGTAATGCGGACTTATTATTGGATGTGAAGGTACACTGCGGAACTAGTGACTTTTCACATTTTAAACTTTATTTTTAACGTGTTAATAGGTTATTATTCACTAAGTCAACATCATACTCCTTTCATCTGCAAGCTTCCCATTCACCTTCCCTTCTAACCTCTTTGGGGCTGCAGAACTGCAAGTAATCAACACGCAAAGGGGTAAAGTATGGTACTTAAATATGCAGCATTTCTTCAGATTCCCGTAAATAGCAGTGGTGACTGCAAAAGGCAAATTCATCCGAAGTTATACTGAAGGAATAAATTAAGCTGCACACTTAAAAAAATTTTTTTTAAAAAAAAAATCCCACATCAGATAAGCTCCAAACCTTATCCAAACTCAATTTGGTGGAGGGGGTGTAGAAGGAATTGTGCAATTAGTCCTGAAGTTCTCCTTTTAAATTTGAATTTAAAGGAAGCTGTCAAGTTGTTCTTTAAAAAGTCTTAGTATAGGGAGAGGAAAAGAAAACGTATTTTATTTCTGTATAAATGTAATGAATACATTTCTTAATACTTCGTAAAAATACCTACTTTCAGAGAAACTTCTATTTTTATTTATTTAATTTTATTTTATTTTCTACCATAAAACCTTTCTTTCTCCTTCTTTCTCTTTCTCTTTTTTAAATTCTATCTCTCATTCTCTCTCTCCACTTTTCACACGACTTTACAGCTTATTGCAAAAAGTTGTAGCCAAAACAACCAAAGGACAGTTTCAATCCCGCCTATTGAAGTTGCTAAAAAAATAAATGGGGAGAAGGGCCTTTCTTTCTGCACAATACTTCCCAGATCTTAGGGGGGAGGGGAGGCAGTCTAAAGTTTGCAAAGTGACACATGCATTTTCTTTCTAAAACAATTAAATTCTTTGAATGGGGGGGGGGATTTTTATTTGAGGTCCAACAGAGGTTAGCAAGAGCAGATCACCACAGTAAAGGAATCCCACCCCCATTCTACAGCTTTCCTAGTTTGAGACTAGGCAATGAGCTCCATTTGGCCTTGATCACTGGGTAAGTAAGGGTGGTGAAAAAAAAAAAAGAAAGAAAGAACCAGGGAGAAGCAGCACATTTTCCGGAAAATAAAACTGATGCTAGCTGTACCTACCCATAAATTGCATCTTTATCTCTCTTTAAAGCGTCATTGACAGAGGAACCCATGCTGGGGGGGCATGGCGTTGGTGTGAGCTGTGTGCGGGTATTGATGGGAGTGAAGCGGAGGACCATGATTCAGGTGGTGGACAGGCTGCATGGATCTGGCGGCATGGGGGTCCCCATACATGGTGCTCGGAATCCCCACTCCATCCATCCCACCGTAATGGGGTAAATCGTCGTACTGCATAATAAACAGGAGGGAAAAGGGGGAAAAAAAGGTCAAAAGGAAGGCCGATTCCGAAGTGAAGTTTATGCAGGGGTGGGGAGAAGAGAGGAAGCAACTTTGTGTGCCAGGGAGTTGAGTTGGGAAGAATGACTTGTAAGTTAGGGGAGATGGCACCAAATCAGACAACAGGAAAAGGCCTGGCTTTAAGTGTGAGGGTTTTCACTCCCCTCCCTTTATTATTATTATTTAATATAGATGCCAATTAATTTTCCAGTAGGCCATCAGAAATATGTCCTTTCTGGGGTCCTGGAACAACAATCTTATGGAAAGGAAAAAGTTAACAGACGGATGGTAGACCGGCTGCTTTGGAGTTCAATTCATCATAAATGCATGCTGAAAAGCTGCCTCGTTCAGTAGGCTTCCCCAGCAGAAGTTAAAATGAGGACACCTATTATTAACACGTGCATTAAGATAGTCCTTTATTTTTAAGAGATTTCCCTGTGGGCATCAGTTGTGCATGCAAGCAGCCCCAAGTGGAGAAGACCTTGCCTGATGTTGCAAAGACACTCTAAGGTACGGTGCACAAAAATAGAAAGCTCCATTTAGAATGGCTCTCAGGGAAATTTCTTGGAGATTCTTTCCTTTCCAGTCTTTTG